GGGTTTAGGGTTTAGGGATCTTTTTGTTGGTGTTTTTTGCCTGCTTAGGAGGATTCGTGTAGGGCTTTTAGGGTTTAGGGGTTAGGGGTTCTTATAAGGGGATCTTACAGGGTTCCTTGAAGGGTTCCTTTATGGTGCCTTGAATCAGGGATTTGGGTTTTGGGTTACAGTAGGGTTTAGGGTGTATGTATACTGTGTATATGTATGTGTGTCTGCACGTGCGTGTATAGGGCTTCCGTGGATTTAGGGTTTTGGGTTTGCGTTGCCGGGAGCATTTTGGTGGGGTTCTGGATCCCACGGAAGCTTGGGGTCCAGAATCTGTGGATGCGGAGCATTCTTTGTGTGATCGTAACACATCTGCCAATAACCGATGCAGCACTACGTGTTTTATCCGCACAGCCCGCTCGAGTGATCGGGATGTTGCACTATAAAGTGAAACTGCTGGAAGGCAAGCCCCGAACGAAGCATCTCCGGTGGTTCGTGCTTCAAGCCGCACGGACGACATGACATCCTCGCTCTGGAAGGCTTTCTCCAGGCTTTGCACAAACTTAATTTTTACAGTCAGCGGTGATTGTGGCTGACTACTCTTACACTGTCGAACCAGATCCTAGCTATGCCGTCTCAAAAACACTCTCAAACAGAATCCAAAAGCTACGTCACAGCTTGGATTACTTTGGACCTTTGAGACGGCAGAGAAGCGATCCAAAGATCAGCCGTAGCGGCCGTAAGCGCCGCAGCCACCGTAACTGCCTCAGCAAAAAACACCGCAGTTTGTAAGGTTTACGGTTCCCTCAGTTCCCTCAATGGCTTTGCACCAGGTCTCTCAGCTGCCGGCCATACACTGGATTGCTGGCGACACCCGAATAGCCTCCGGCCATATAACCATAACCTCGAAAGCTGGCTTTTAGGAGTCTGGACGTGCAGAGAGCTCTCACACTTGTGAATTGTGCATCCCAGATACCGGCACCGGCACTGCTTGCTTGGCCACCGGAATACCTGCAGTGCAGAGGCAGCCACACAGATGACTGCATGCTAGGACAGCGTGGCGGCTTTCGGAGCTGTTTGCTTCTTAGGTGCAGTGGTTGTTGGGGCTGCTGAGCATATGGACTTGCATACGCTGAATATGGATTCACTGCTGGATATTGCATCGGCATCTGCTGTTGTTGCTGTTGTTGGAGCTGTTGCATCTGCATCTGCATCTGCATCTGCAACTGCTGGGCCTGCTGGGCCTGCTGGGCCGGCTGGACTGGCCTGGGTTGTTGCTCCGGTTGGTGGAGTGGTTGTGGCATGCTGGGCATGCTGGATGTTGATGGGTAGGGATAGTTGGAGGGATTTGGTGCTGAGGGAGCGGAATTGGGCATGCTGAGGCCGTTGTTTCTCTGCTGTCCATTCCACTGTCCGTTGTGAACTCCACTCTGCATCTCGTTCTGGAAGTTCGTCGGCTTCTTGGAGGCTGGCTTTCGCAAATCCACCTCGTCATCGGAGTCGTACGAAGCCACACAACAGCCGTTCAAGTTGAGCGGGAAGAAGTTGTTCATCATGGAGGTCCAACCGAAGCCGTTTTCTGGAGTCGCCCAGACCCTGGCATGCTCCTTCGTCCACTCAACAACTTCTGCCACTACACAGGACGTGTCGTCCTTCTTGCCTCCACGACCAATCGGGGCTTCCCGTAGCTGCCCCATGGGGCCGGGGCGAGTCTTTGCGTGGCATGCCTCCACGATCTGCTGGGCCAGAGCCTTCATCTGCGCTTCGGAAAAGTGCTGGCCCGCTTGGGTTGGAGGCAGCATTGCGTTTGCCAACTCCATGATTTCGTCCAGGTAGAGGTTGTCAAACACTCCATCGCTGCCCATGATGACAATGTCACCCTCGTATGCCGAGACGCAGTGAACTGCACTACCTCGTTCTATCACTTCGATCGTGAGGGCCTCATGAAAGTTCGGATCGATTCGGGCATCCACCCGGGCAAGCTGCAAAGGTGTTTGGGCATGGCCATCAATTCTTTGCATCTCCGTGTGGCACACGATCTCAAGCGGTTGCCGAGCCCCCTTCACCCTGCGCAGCACAATCAGCTCGCAGTCGCCTATGGTGATGATTGCGATCATGGGGTGCAGCTTGCCGTGGATGCGTGTTGAGTTGTCCATAACTGCCAGTACCACGGTGAGGGAGCCAAGGCTCTCTGTAGCCTCGAAAGCCCTCCGAAGCATGGAGACGGGCCCCCTGTACGTGTCCGCGGATGGCAGCTTCGCCCCGGGAATGAGCTGGTGCATGCCCAACTGCTCCACGACCTGTCGCGGCATTCGACTATGGGGTGCGCAGCTATCAGCAGCTGCGACATCAACGGAACCTTCACAGTTATGACAACGGAACAAACCAGGCAGGAAATGATACTTTTAGACATGCATGCTCATGGGCTTATCCTTGCTGAACATGTCACAGCAATGGCAAACATCGCGACAGTGGTAATAGCTACATAAGGTAACAGCAGTCGACGCTGCCGTGGCACAAGAGGCACCAGCAGGATCCGCAGCATCAGCAGAGGCAACAAACACAACACCAAGACCAACCCTGCCACACAAACACCACCAACAACAACAGTGACGACGACGACACCTGCAACAGCGATGGCAACTGGAGGGAAGACTTGTAAAAGCAACGAGATACAACAAATGTATGGACATCAGAAAAAGCAACAGCACGAGGAGCAGAAGCATAGAGGAAGTAGTAGTAGTAGTAGTAGTAGTAGTAGGAGGAGCAGCAGCAGCAGCAGCAGCAGCAGCAGCAGTAGCAGTAGCAGTAGGAGCAGTAGGAGCAGTAGTAGTAGTAGTAGTAGTAGTAGTAGTAGTAATAGTAGTAGTAGTAGTA